GTTCAGAGTAGGATTTCAGTTCACCTTGTCCCTCAAACCAGCCCAAGTGACTCCAGGCTCGGAGCCCAGCCCAGAGGGGTGCTGGGTCTCCTGCCCAGACTAGAGAGATTTCGGTGCACTCACAACTCAACGGGTAAGTGCTCTGCCCCTCCACCACACAGAACATTTTTCCCCTGAAATCTTTCTGAGATGTATTTATGAATCACTCTTTTCCACGAGGTGGGAGCAGATCCTGGATTCAACAAAAACTCCTGGCAGGGGCACAGGCCACGCTGAGGGGAGCGGAGCTCTGCGGTTACGTGTGTCTGCAGAAGGGGTTGCTGAGCTCTCCCACCTGATGCGAGTCTGTCACCAGGATGGGATCACGGCTGTGTCTAACTTCACCCCAGATCTTGCAGCACAGCCCAGGACGTCCCCTTCTCCCCCCCCCCCAGAAGAAATAAACCCCATCGGTCCCTCCTGGGGACCTTGGGCAAGGTGTGGCCCCACCGCTCTTACAGTCTCACCGGTGCGGCCAAAACTTGAATGTTTCCCCCCAGAGCGAGCCCTGGCCGTGTGCATGATCCATGCTCCCAGGTTCGTGCTGATCCCCCCCAGCCTCCTCCCTGCGCTTCTGCAGGTCCAAACCCTGCCTTGGCCAAAAGCAAACTGGTGCTGGTTCAACGTACCCGGCTCCATTTAATGCAAGTAGAGAGGAATTTTGTCCTTACTGTGTTAGCAACTACATTTTTTTTTTTTTTGTTAACGACAGGAATTTTGAGCGCTGTGCAAAATCTCGAGGTTGCTATGGTTATAGCGCAGCCATTCCCAGAGTCTCCCCGAAGTAGCTAGAAATGAGAAGGATCCAGGGGACACTATGAAAGTAATTCCCAGTAGCATGGGGTTTTCAGATGTTTCCCCTGCTGTCAGCGGGGAATGAAGGTGGCGAACGAGGTTAGTGCCGTCATCTTAGTTCTAAGTGAAATAAAATTCATTTACAGCTGGAAACTTTTCAATTTAAATTACCTCCCGGGAGGTTTCCAAGTTAAAACTTTGGGGCTAATTTCTACAAGCGTTTGCAGTTTCCGCCCTCCCCGAGAGTGAAAGCTATCCATGTGTTCTCTTATCTCCCCGCTTTCCCTCACTGCCTCTCGTCCTGCCTCTTCACAGACTTCTCTGGATCTTCCTCTGCTGTCAGCGCAGCACAAAGACCCGTCCCCAGAATCCTCCTCACCACAGAACCTGTGAAGGGCCCCTCTGTGCCAGGCTGTGGAGTTGCTCCCCCAGGTCCCTCGGGCGAGGAGCTGCTACAACCCCCCCCTGCCTCCCTCTGCCTCTGGGGGACCCGCTGTGGGTCTCCGTCCCGGCCCCCCAGCCCACTGCGCCGGTAATTGCTGGTGCGAGGTAATGGAGACTGACAATTTCATCTTTAAGCTATTTATCAGTTGGTGCTCTCCACATCAGGTGTCACAGGAACATGACAACTCTTGTCAGTGAAACAAGAGAGCCCTGTGACAGGCTTTCAATTGAATTTCTTCACCGAGCACTCCCAGCATTAACACTACGTTGAAACAACTTCATTCATTATTCAAAAAAAGGGAAGAAAAAAAACCCAAAAACCACCAACCCAAAACCAACCCAACCAGTGAGATCCTGACAAAATGTATAACTTTTTTGAATCCTAAAAATGCACCTGATTTTGCTTCTTCGGTGCCTTCAGAATAACCTGTCTGGGTTCATTAAGAACCGCTTTATTTGTTGCCGGCGAGTAAGCTAACCACGGGTCATTCTGCCAACGAGTGGGAGTCAGTCGTTTGCCATGAATGATTCATAACTCAGGCTGCTTTTTAATAAAAAGCTCATGTTAAAATTCTACATATGCTCAGAAGGAAGAAATAAAAATTCCTCTCTATATTTTCATTAGAATTTATAATAAATGACAACCCGGAGATGTATTCTCCTGCCTGCGTGTCCTTGCTGCAGATGCACCACAATGGTGTACAGGCTTCACTTGGCTGCCCACCAGCCCTAGAATCGCTCTGTGATGTTGCTCCCGTACAGACATTTTAGAGAGCCGGTTAAGGCTGACTTTTATCTCATATTAAAAAAAAAAAAAAAAAGCTGAAATAGAAGAAGAAACAGTGCAGGCTCCAGGAGGTGGCATTGTTCGTGTGCCTTCTTCCCTAGAAAAAAGACAAAAGCAGCAGTATCAGTAGTGTGACCCGTGACTTCTCTCCGCTGAGAAAGCAGCAGTGCATCATCACCGAGACACTCTAGTTATAAACTACACACTCTGTATATTCCTGACATGTTTTTAATAACTCAGGAGTGGTTGGTTATTCGGCTTGGCACCATGCTCTTCCAGGGTGCCACCGAAGCAGAAAGCCTCGCAGCGCTCGCCCGGGTTCCTTGGGGAAGGGTGCTCAGACAAACCCCAGACCCAAACAGAGCCGCGGCAGTGCCAGGAGCTGCGGTGTGGCACCTTTGCTGCCTTCCGTTACGCCTTATTTGTCCCCCAAAAGTACCATGGAAAAGGGGCATCGCCCTGATACCCATCAGTTATCACCTGGCCCGGAACCGGCACCCGGGGCGGCCGGGCTTTGAGCTCTGTCCCCAAGGCCGGTGGGTCACAGACCGCGGCCACCAACACCAGCAGCGGAGGTTTCCAGCTCCAGCCGGCGTTGTGAGGGGGTGCTGGGCTGCGCTCACCCGCCGACGCTGTTCCCCAAACTCTTTAGTCCCTTCCCCGTGCTCCAGGCGGGACACGGGGGACGTTCCTTGAGCCCCCGCAGCGGCACAGCTCGGAGCATCCCCCCGCGCACGGGTCAGCGCTGAAGTCTGGAGCCCCCTTGGATTTCAGCGCAGAATTGTTCTGCATCTCGTCCCCTATCCCTGTGGATACGTGAGAAAAAAACCCACCATTAATTTTACTAAATCTTTACTGCAGGGCAAAGGTTCCTCTTCCTTCCTGCACCCTCTTTTGCGAGCCCTTCTCCCCCCGAATGCAAAGGTCCTGCTTGGGCGCCGCTGGGGTGCGGGGGGTGGTTGGGAGCAGCTGCGCAGCTGCTTCCCCCCCGGCAGGGCGACAGCTTTCCCTTCAGTGCATCGGGGGGGCAGAGGAGCGTCGTCTGCCCCCCCTGAATGCACCTTGGCTTTCCGCAGAAGAATTAGCGTCCCGCATGGGACCACCAACATAAATTGTTACAGCGGGTGCCCGGTGAATCCTTTATGAAACAAAACATACTGTGCTTGAACCTGGTCATTTAAAGCCCCGATTAACACATCGGTAACTGCTTATGTCTTTCTCTTCACAGCTGCTGAATGATGTGGTGGAGATCCCGTTCAGGAGCATAATGGCAGCGAACAGCAGGGCTTAACACGCTGCAGCTGCCCTTTGATCCCAGATCATTGCAGAAAGGCTCTACCAGAGAATTACCTTCCCCTTTTCTCCTCTATTTCTAACTTTGAAGAGTATTTTCCCTGCAAATATTTTCCTCATGGAAACTTTAATAGTCTGTCTTTGCCTGGATGCCGCATATAAATTGATGTTATGAATGGCTACTCACCCCTCTTGCTCCACCACCCTGTTCTCCAGCCTTACCCCTGACCCAGAGGGTTCAACCACACGTTCACAGATCCCTCCATCTGATCTAACACTTTCTTTAGGGGTGCAGTTATTTGTAAAAAAAGATATCCGCTTTTGACTTACAGGCCCCTGAGGATGGAGAATGGCACATCTCCTGCTAATGTTTCAATAGTTCTCTTTTTTTTTTAGAAGTGCAGGCTGTCATATATATTTTTAAATTATTGGGTCTTTTATTCTTTCTTTGTTGGATCAAATAACTCAGAAAATCACTTTTTATACCCAAAGACCCCGCGGGTCTCTTTGGTTTATGCGGAAGGGTGCTATAATGTCAACAAAATAAGGATCAAGAGTACTCTTGAGATTTAATAGCCACCGTCGGTACTAGTCTAACTTCACCGTCCTCAGTAGCGCTGCCGAGGAGAAGTGACTATAAAAGAAAGGTCAAGATGTTGTGGTTGGCTTGTTTAAATGTAGAGAACTAAATAGAATATGGGCAGATGGATATGAGGTCATTCAAAACTCATACCAAGTAACACAATGAAATGAATTGGATGGGAGTTTCACGGCAATCACTGTGAGGGAGCTGATGCCTCTCTTAAGTTGCATGGCAACACACTCCAGACAAAAATAAAACACCCATATGGCTTTGAAAATCTGACTTATTTCTAAGGTAAAATAGGGTTTTCGCTTTGTTTAAGGTTAAAATCTCCTGACTCAACTCGAGTAAGTCCGACGACACTGGAAAAAAGTTTCCAAGTTTTTGAATTTTTCAAGGATTCCTGTGCATGTTTCTGTGCACCCCCATTCCTGCTGCCTCTTCATCTGCTCCGCTCTGCTCTTGACCAGTTCCTTCTCACCTTTGACCGACTTCGACAGTTTCCTTTTTCAAGCCGTTCTTCCCACTCTTTGAGCTTTTTAAAACGTCTTATTATATTCTGAATTGTTTTAATTGATGAAGAACGATTCCTCAAATCGTTCCCGTGGGGTGGGGGTCTCGGGGCACTCGTCTTGCCTTGCAGACCCCACCGATGCCAACACGCTCCTCAGAACAAAGCCAGCCTTGTTACTGCAGCTCACACGGCAGGAGGAGAATGGGAAAAATGTCCCTTCACACAAACGAGCTGATTTTGTTGCTACAAAGGACTCCAGTGCCTGAGACACTGCAGATTGCCAGCCATAAGAACTATGAATCATCTTTGCTTACTACTTGGAATTGTCTTTGGGCAAACAACTATAAAAATGGCAGTGTTGTCCTTTTACAGTCTGCTCCTCCAGCAGGAAGACAGAGTGACTCGCAGCGAGGGGAGGGTGTGAGTCCAGGAGTCCGGTCTCCATCCCACCGTAGCGAGGGACAAGGGTGCCCTTTGTGTGGTGCCATCCCCGTGGCCTCAGCTGGCCGGGGACAGTCACCTCAGCAGCCCCCAGAGGGACAGACCTGTCGGGGCGGCGGGGGGCTTGAGAAGTTCCCTATCCCAAACAAGGGGCTTTGAGCAGTTCAAGCTCATGGACGTGGCAGCTTTGCATCACTGTCCCCAGGTTCCAGCCTGGGAGGATCAGGTGAAGGCTCAGTGTTGGAGTGGTTCCATGGGACGACTTTGTGTCTCCTTGGTCAAAGTGTCTTCCATTATCTGGGTTGTGAATTAAAAAAAGACCTGTTAAAATAGTTATATGTACCTGCAGAATGCCCTGCTGCATGCCATAGAACCACAGAATAGTTTGGGTTGGAAGGGATGTGAAAGATCTAGTCCCACCCCCTGCCCCGGGCAGGGCCACCTTCCCCCAGCCCAGGGTGCCCAAAGCCCCGTCCAACCTGGCCTTGAGCCCTGCCAGGGAGGGGGCAGCCACAGCTTCTCTGGGCAGCCTGGGCCAGGGCCTCACCCCCCTCACAGGGGAGAATTTCTGCCTTCTGCCTGTTATCCCTTGTGCATGTGCCGGGGGGGATGCAGATGTTTCCGCCGGAGGGGATGCGGCTGAGGCCGGGCGCTGGTGGCCACATCCAGCAGGTGCCATCGCCGTGCCGACGGCCCCCTCCAGCCCTGCCCGCTCTTCCTTGGGGATGGACCATAAATATTCAGTACCGGATACACTGACATGTAAAACAGCAGGTGCAGCGTATCTGTGGTGAGGATGTGTTTAATGGGTGAAGGATTCCATATTCTATCCACTGAGCAAACAACTGTATATAAAAACTCCATCTGTAGCTTTTTATATGTTGATTTTTTTTTTTTTTTAAGTTAAAACCACAATTTATTTTAAAAAGTACAGATACTCTTGTTGTGGAAGATGGCTTTGCACAATTAAATGGCAAAATGGATTAAAGCCGTTGATGAAAATGTAAATAGTTGAGTAATTTTAGGTTTCATCCAAGTGCATTCAGAACAAAACCGCTTGTCCTGCACAGTTCTTCATGTTCCATTCCCCACAGTAAAATTCTTGCTAGCAATTACGCTTTTTCTTTTGGCCTGTTCTTCGTTTCCATTTCCCCCTCTCTTTTCCCCTGGCTCCTCTAGCTCCTTATGCTTCATTTCAAGGGGGAATGGTGCCACGTCTCCATGTGAGCCAAGTACCTCATCAGCTTCCCCCGGCAGAGTTTACTGGAAAGCAACGCCAAGTGTTTCCATTTATTTCCCCATGATGCCTTTACAACACATCCCCCCCAAGTGCTCATCTGATCTTTCATTGGCTACTGTTCGCAGGAATCTTGACATTTATACAGCAAAATGCCGATATTCAGATCAATTTATGCTTTTCAGGTCTGATTGAATTACCAGTGAAATCAATGGGTGTCTTGACTTCTACCAGAAACTTTCAGGCTGACCCGATCTTCCACTCCTCCGGATTTGTAACGGCTGAGATTTTATAAACAAACATATTTTGATCAAAAGCTGCTTCGTAAAGGTAGTTTAACGGCCTAGCCCTTGGCTGCAGCGGGAGGTGTCTGCTCTGGTTTTTATGGTGATTACTCGGAGGTTCGCACCCAGCCTTTCCCACCTCTGTGGCTGCTGGAGAAGGGTAGCGGCGCGGTCTCTGGTGCAGAATCCCAGGATGAGTCGCCTCATTTGTCCCATGAGAGGTGCCACACGCAGCCGGCCTGCTGAGCCCGAGCCAGTATTTCAGTTCCCCGTGGAGACGATGACCGTGTGCACGGCAGGAGCCGAGGCCACTGGGGAGCATGGGGAGACCAGGCGGTTGTGGGGTGGCTTTGGGTTCTTGCCCTACTCCAACGGGAACCTCCGTGTCTCCTGTGGCTGGACAATTCCTTGAGCCTGATCCGGTTCCTCTGAGAGTAACAGGAGATCTGCTGTGAGCCGCAACGGGGGCAGTGGGAGATGGGTTTTATCTGCTGGCCAGTCAGTTGGTGACATCTGGTCCTTGGAGAGTGGAGCCCTGCAGAGCAGCTCTGTGGAGGTAGCACAGCCTCCCGCCCAGCCAGAGGACGGTGGCCTGAAAGGGAAGGACTGGGTGAACTGGAGGTCGATTCCACATAAGATGGCCAACCCTACCCAACATCTTGGGTTGGTCCTGCAGGCTAGGCTCCATCTCTCCTTATGTCCCCAATTCATTGATTTGTCAGATGGGTAAAGAAAAGGGTGAATCAGTCAATCAGTCATACTTCTGAAGAGCCACTCCAAGCAGTGATACAGCTGATTAAACCTTGTTCTCGGAGTAAAGTTAACAGAAGCTAATTAGAAAGCTTAAAGAGAAAAATTTTCTCATGTGCTCTCGCGCCAGCGCTCTGACTTGATTGGAACACAGTGAACTGCTTAATCGGAGTGAGGATCGGGGGCACGGCACCACCTCCCAGGCTCTGCCTGTGAAGATGCGACCTGCCAGCACCCCGGGTGAGGTGCTCTAGGAACATTTTTTTTTCTGAAGAAGCCAGTAATGGCTCCTGCAACAGCTGCTTCGCAGGAATGGTCACGGGTTCATTTTATTATAAAGGTGCCGCGACTACTGCGTGCAGAGTGGGGTCTTCTGCAGGGTCCGACAGCCTGAAGTGAGGGCAAGAGGAAGGCACTTAGGTGGGGTTTGCAGAGCGCTCTGGAAATTTTAACTTGAGGTCAGTGGTCTACAGGAGGGCTTCAGCCTTCTGGAGGTGACTGTGCTGCCGAAGAGACTCTGGGAGGAGCTTCTGGTCTATCTGGTGACACCAGAGCAGGCAGTGGGCTCCGTGGGAAGAGCTCTGAGGGTTCCGCAGGAGAGCCGAGGCAGAAGGTGACCGACTCCCTCTAAAACACGGGGCAGAAATTCACCGAAACGGCCGAGGGAAGAGGGAAGATCTGGCTCGAGGGAGGCGCAGAACCGGGACTGACGGAGACATCCTGCGACTGTTCACATTTGGGAGGAACTTCAGACCTGGCCCTGACCTGTTTTTGATAAAACCCGTTGTATTTCCCCAATCCATCCGCTTCTTAAGATCAAACCCTGTATGCTTGATCTCAGACAACAATAGCTGCCACTTTAAAGGTCAAATCCTCACAGGGTTTTCTACAGACTTTACACACAAATGACTTCGGCGCCATTGAAATGCAAAGATAAGTTTAAAAAGAGTTATTTTCAGAACAACTAGTCTAAGTAAAATATTTTCAGCTAGAAGTATCGTACATACTCAGCCTTTCTGCTGTGTAAATATTATTTTTTATTTTTCATATTTTGCTGTGTAAACTTATTTTATCCCATGTAGGTTTTTATGGGGTAAACCTGGGGTATAGCGGCTCGGTATACTAATGTGGGCAAAGAGCCCAGTCAGGATTTATGGATAAGCTCTCCTATTATTTAGGTACGTTTTCGTAGGCTGACTTACACTCCTATTGTATTAGAGTCACTTTTCATCAATAATGGAAATATGTCCCTGTTATCCCCCACAAAAAGCTTTGCATTTTCTGGCATGTTTGAGGAAATGATCTGGCGTGTATCAATAAAGACAGCAATAATTGCCATGGGCTCGCTGTTGTTTGTGCAGAAGAAATTTCTGTTATTCATTGTGGGCTGTCAGATGGAAGACATCATGCAAATGGAGTGGGTCTCAGAAATAATTCTTGTATGGCTAGAGTAGAACTCCTAGAAATATTTATCTTACTGAGAAGAAAATACAGAAAATGATGCAGTGGCTGTTGTGGAAGCAATAAATACGTACCACAGCATTATCTACAATTGTTCATAAAGATCACAGTAGCAAAGCGCTGCGTGGGTAAAGGGAAGTGGCTCAATATAACCAGGAGTTTTACAGATATATACACCATAATTAACTATTATTACGTATACTAATACATACTGATAACTGATCACTCTTTCAAGTGAGATAACAGTCAAAGCCTTGATTTAAAAGCAGATATATTTCTCTGTGTTTTCTCTGTGACCTCTGATATTTCAAAGAATGAAAATATTGACGTTCTGGTAATTGGCCGTTACCGCATTGCTAATCCATTAGTTACTCGATTATGGTCAAGACGATGATGGGCTGAGTCATGGCTGAGAACAGGAAAATGTATCCAAAGTGCAAAAATCCGATGGGTTGAGCTTTGACTACACATCATCATTCGCAGTTGCCTCAGCCGGTGTTAACTTTGGGATGCGTTATATTGCCTAGAGAGATATCACAAAAATGAAAAGAAATGTTGTTTCCAGAAGATCGTAACTGAAGGGGTGGAAATTGATAAATAAACAGTCGCGTTTATGAACCGTTCGTCTGAAAAAAAGACTGTGTCGCACGGGTTTTAGTAGTGTGCACGTGGATGTGTGCGGGTGTGAATGCACGTAACATGGGACCTGTGCTGCTGCCTTCACAGCCAACTCCGCTTAGTTTTTTTTTTTAACACTTGGCAAATTTATTAGTCTCAGTCTTACCTCAAACACAGCAGTAGAAAAGCCATTTTCTTTGCATAAGCTGCTCGTGACAATCTGCTGTACGTTGATTGTGTTATGGGCGAGCTTCAGATACAAGTAGTTTTCAGCAGCACAGGGAAAGTGTCTCAGTAATTAATTAATTTAAAAAAAAAAAAGTCCCACGTTTTGTTGAAAGGAGTTAAAACGAATAATTAATCTATTTCTAAATAACGCATCAAAATGTATCATAAACTGAGGACGTTCTCATGAGGAATGAGAAATACATGAAGAAAACTTGCATTTTTCATCATCTAAAGCGTTATTCTGTTGTGTGGCTCCGAGGGTGTGGCTAGAATGTGAGACCTGAACTTTAGAAAAGCCATTTTTGCTGCGAGGGTAATCGGAGCCCGGAAGGGCTTGTCCCAACCAGCTGTGGGGTCTCCATCGTCGGGTTTACTGGAGCCCGGTGGGAGGCTGTCTGGGGCAGGCTGGGCAGGGGCTGGACGGGGCCATCTCCAGAGCTCCCTGTCCCCCCAGCCCTCCCGTGAGTCTGTTGGCTGCCAGGAGAGAGGTGGAACGCCGGGGGGAACGGAGAGGGTGGTGCTCCTGCTCAGGCTGTTCTAAGCAAATCAGGTCACAAC